ATCTGCTGAACGCGTGTATGAGCTCGTCCTGGTTGAAACGCGACCTCCGCTGCGGTGGCCCCGGGGTCGCCTCGCTGCAAGCAGCCGCCCCCACCCCTCCGCCTCGCTTCGACAGAATGGACTCGCCAAAACGCAGAAGTACCTCCCGGCTCCCGAATCTCTGTGTCAGCTTTTTTGCTTTTGCCCATCTGGGAAGCCGGGGCCGGGGGGAAGGAGGAACAACCCTGCTGGGCATGACGAAAGCTCAGATGCCGCGCTCGTCAGTGGCACCAAACTCCCGGCATCGCCGCCGGGCTGCCGTCCGCTGGGAGCGCAGCAGGACGGACACGCGGCAGACCGGAGGAAGACTCATCCCTGCTCGGGAGCTTTTCAGGTGAAGGCAATGGGAGTTTCGTTCCAGAAAGAGCGCGGCTTGCTTTCCCACGCGAGGCGGCTTCGCGCCGTGGCTGCCGGCTGCGCGGTCCCTCCTTAAGCTCGTGGGGCAAAGCCGGCGCTGAAGGAGTCAGTTCAAGGTACTTCCACAGTAAACACTAGTAGCAATGTATACACTGGTTACAGATTTTTACCTGGTCTACAAATATTTGTACACTGTAAAGCCTGGCAGGTAATGGGAACTCGTCCCACCCCTCAATTAAGAAAATATTCCTCTACGCCTCCTTTATGCTGAAAACAATTCTTTCCGAGTTAGCTGCAAAAGAAAAAAACATAGCACAAAAGGCACGTTTCAGCGGAATACGACAGAAATCAAGGACCAGCGAATACAGGAATCGTTTCTGGAAAGTATTAGCGACTTTTAAGCTTAAACTTCATAAATATATTGCAATAAGCAAGTGTGATTCAATCAACGGATGGGAGTCTGAAGACACTGGGTCTGTTCCTAACGCTGCAATTAATTTGCTGTTTGGCCTCGGGCATAATGCTTCACTTATTAGTTTCCCACAGCCACGAACGATGGTGGTGTGGGGGGAAGAAGAGACGTTTGTGCATCGGTGCCTTCTCCTCTCCGCGCCATGGCACGCGCCCTGCGCCGTGCCGGGGAGGTGCCGGAGCAGCACCGCAGCTCCCTGACCCCACCGCTGAGCCTCCCCGCCGGCCCCTGCGCTCCTACGGCTCCGTCACTTCCAGAGGAAGAAGGAACTTCTACAGCTAAAAAGAGCTAAAGAAGTGCTGCTGCGGCAGTCCTCGAGCTACGCAACCAAGCCGATCGCTTTTTCCTTTGGGTTTTGGGACGCTGTGACTTCGCAAACCAAGTGCCATAAAAGTGAAGCTCATATTTCTCCCAAACAGCCAAATTTTGCTCACGGATGTTTAATATTACCAGCAAAAGAAAATGACTAGCTACTTCACTTGTTAGTCGTGAAGGTGGTTCCTACTGGACCAGTAATGAAGACACGAGAATTAATTTATTCGGGAGTCAGTAAGAGACTGATGGATCCAGCCCACTGAGACAGGAGACGTAATTCTCTGCGTGTCTGAAGATACAAGCTCTTCACCCACACAAATCCCTCTGGAAAGGCACATTTGTCTCACCGAAGTGCAAGTTACCCACAGGTATCGACACTGCTTGAACACTGTCCTGGAACAGTAACCTTGGCTGTGGCATCGCTTGGCCACCAGAGTCATCCATCAGTCCAGTTCTCCACAGTCCCCATCCCTGAATGATACTGCAGCGACGACTCCCGCGACAAGGAGAAGCTTTGCGAGTACAGGAATTCGTTCGCCGCGCTTAGGTGCGGAGAGGGGGGTTTCCTCTCGCACACAGACGGGTGCACCCTTTCCCTCGGGAAAGATGAAGAAGGAACGCGCTCTCGAACCTGAGACTGGGACAGCTGGTTGTAGACGCTGAAGTGGCCGGTACCTGGTGGCTGCGAGCCTTGGCCCGCGATGGACGGGAGCCGCGGCATCATGGTGGTGGCAGTGAAATGAGCGGGGAAAGGCTGGTAAGGGACAGTTTCCATGGTCTGAACGCTGTAGCCGGTGTAAGGTGCGACAGAAGTCCACATATTGCAGCTCAAGGGCGGAGGTGGCGGCGGCAAGTCGTCGACCGTTGAGACACCGGCAATTTCGGCCCCGGAACCAGAGTACATGCACGCGTCCCGCGGCGTCACCTCGCTGCAATAGGAAGGGCTCAGCATCTGCTGATCGTACGGGGGCGGGGAACGGAAATAGTGGTCGTCTCCTACCGAAGAGGAGGCTTCCAGGTAGGAGCGCTTGCAGGGCAGCTCCAGGTGCCGAGCGCTTTCTGCAAACACACAAACACAAGAAGCGCCTTCAGCAGCGGCTCCCAGAGCGGCGGCGTTTGACAGCGGTCTGCTAAGGGCCCGGGGGGGTTCTACGGGACCCCCTCAGCAGCCGAGCGCGCAATCCGTGGTTATTTCGCTAAGCAACTGGCGCTCTTTTTCAGATTAATCCGGTTAAACCCTTTTAGCTCGGAAAGACAATGTACAAGATCAAAAAGACATTGTGTTGCAAATGTCAGGCTAATCCCCTCAGCCTCAAAGCATTCTGGTGACATTTGTCAGGTTGAGTGGGTGACTCGGGCTCCTATTCTCCCATCAGAGATTGCTTCGCCTCCCTCCAGATAACAGAGGTCCCTGACACTCTCGCAACGTTACTCCTGACAAATTCAAGAAGTCTCTTAAAGGGTCTTATCGCAGCCTGCCTTCCTGTCCTTACAAAAATGACCACACATTTCCCAGGTATTCATGTCAAAAGCTGCAGAAATCTCTCCAGATAAAGGAGCCCCTTCCCAGCCATGGGTCCTTGCCCTCCCCTGTGCGCTGAGGAGCTGTAGCCCCTCTCCTACAGATTGCGGTGGCCGTGGCTGTGTTTACCAGCAGCTTTCTGTTAGTTGTTAAGGAATATTCTGGGGATGAACTAGTGAATTCATCTGCAGATTAAACATCTGCTAAAATTACACATTTGCCTTGCAGTCCTCATTACTGGTGCTGTCAGATTCTTCGTTTGCCCATGATCAGAGGATTCTCACAGCTTAAATAAATTAGCGGCCAATGAGACATGCAAATAGAAGGATTTTTTCCATGCAAAATTTTTCCGTTTAACTTAAAACATGCCATGATCTCATCTGATGCTGGACTAGAAGGAAGAGAATGTACTTACGGTTCACTTCTTAAACTTGAGAACTAGTGGGTAAGAAGGAAGGGATGCTTACACCCAGCTACCACCGTGCCGCTAAGCTGCAGACAGCGAGAGAACTGCTAAGGGCTTCGTCCCGGAAAAGTGCTGACTGTGTATAATTTCGTTAATGCTAACAGCAGTGTCAGAACTTCTCAGGGTGGATAAGGCCTCCTCCGAACAATTATTAATTCAGCTGATTCTAACAATGGATAATTTTCCAGCTTTTAGCTTCACGCCATTTGAATTATGCATTCTGATTATTTTTTTCAGCTCTGACTCCGAGGCTGAATTTGCCTTGGGTGGGACAAAACCACTAGTAACTGCCCAAAAACCCAGCTCTTGGGCCCTGGCCCTCCAAAACACTTTGATCACGTCGGTATCTTTGCAGATCAAGGCATAAGAGACCGATCGAAAATGAACTGGAATTAGCGATAAGCTTTCAGTGCTTGTGCTCTTAGGTTTATTTGCTGTAATATTTTTCCAGCTGTAAACTCGAGTTACCTCTTCTTTTTAGGCAATGATAGAAGAGCCCTGAATCCCTCTGTGCTGTGAAGGTGTTGAGTGGCAGATCTTGAGCATCTGAAGCTGCAAATTGCATGTGAGCACCGTTCTCATACTGATAATGTTGAAGGGTCTGGTGATTCCCATGAAGTGGGTTAACGTCTGGCTTTGTTGAAAGCTGGCCATGACTGGACACCAGCCTCTGCCTCATGATGCTTTTGGAAATTACTGGATATTCTTTGCTAAAGGAGGTGAGAAAAATTATTACCGGTTAGAGAGCGATCGGCATAAACAGAAGGATGAACTATTAGTTTGGCTTCCCTAGAGCACCTCCGTCCAGTGACTTCAACACGCTTTGCCGACACGCTGAGCTCACGCTCATCACGCTCGGCTGGGTGTAGGCAAGGACTACGACAACACGCAGAGCGTGTCATGGAATGACGGGGCACACACGGCGTTAAAAGCCCTAACGGCCTCAAACACAGGAAACTTGGATGCCCCGGCGGCACGGGCACCTTTTAACTTCGCCAGAGAGGTGCAGCACATTAGCAGCAGAACAAAATAGGGACGGAAGCCCAGCTGCAAGGCCGTATCTCTGCACAGGGCACAGGTCTGACGGGTGCGCTGGCCGGCCGCGTGTCGGACACTGCACGGTGCAGCAGCTCCCCGACCCCCACGAGCCGCTCGGCCGTACCTTTGCAGTCGCGCCACGCGCAGGTCGCTGTCGTCGCTCCCCCTGAATCCCTTGGCGAAGGGGTTGTTTTCAATTTTCAGCTGCGTTATCTTTAAGAGAATGAAACCATAAAGCGTGTGAGAAGGGAGCAGCGCGGCACGTGCGGCAGCAGGTCTGCGCTGCCAGTCTCCGGCCGCCCCGTCCTACGTGGCACCCTGCGAACGCGGAGTCCACGAGACTTTCAGCCATCTAAAGACGTGGTGGCCGAGACGGCGTCTCTGCGTTCAGCGCCGAGAGAAACCGAGCTGTGAAGTTCAGTGCTAGATCTTGTGGAAGCAGCTTTTAAAGCTGACAAAATTCTCAGTTACGAAGGAGGACAGGAACACAGATTTCCTTGAGTCCGGGTCTTATCTGAGTCCTGTTCTCTTATTCTGGGCTCTTCTTAAAGAGAATAAGTTTGTCTGACTTAAGAGGTTTTCTGTGTCTCCACGTTATCTCTCACGCCTATTCCTTATGGTGTGGCTCTCCCTCATTTCCATAACAAATTTATTTATCTTTGCATTCATCATTCAGTCATTTTTTCCTCTGTGACAAGACTCATACCTCAGACAGTGAATTGCCTGTGGGCAAAGGAAAGGTGCTGCCCATCACAAGATGTGCCTTTCCCCCCAGGAGCTGCAGCGTATTAAAAGGGTCAAAATGACTTAGAATTGACTTAGATTAGATTTGATTTTAGTTGGAGCTCAGCTTTTGCAAGGGAACTGTGAAAGCTCTGCCATTTTGTGAAAATTCTGTTAAAAAAAATTATGTGTGAAATTTCCTTTAAAAATATTCAGTAGTCATCTGCCTTACAGCCACAGCAAACACAGTTTTCCTCGCCAAGCCTGCCACCCCATCGGGCACAAACCAAAGCCATACAATGGCCGGGAAGGGGTACTTGGTTTTCCAGTGAAAAATTAAAATAATCCACCTCCTTCTTTTTAACAAAGGATTTTGTAAAGACAAACGGGTAGCGAACATGATCATCTGAGAGGGTTTCAGGAGCTGGAAGATGCCAGAACAGCACCGAAACGATTGTAGGGAGCTCCTAAAAATATCCCTCGTCCGCCTCCCAAAGAGACGCGCCTGTGCACCAGCACACGCCTGAGGCTCTCGGACAGTAAGGTGCAGGTCCAGCACCCCTCAGGGACAGAACTGGTCAGAAACAGGTCGTCTTCGTGTCCTTCCCTTCGAGGGGACACCGCTGCGCAGGGTCGTCTCCTTGGGCATCCGAAAAGGAAAGACCTTTTCCAGGAGGAG